ACATCAGAAGTATCCCATACAAGTAATTCTGATCTAGCCAATTTTTCGAGTTATGGCGGTATGTCTAAACATGATGACACGGGCTTAAGGAAGTCGGGCTGGGTGTACGGTTACGAATGTTCGCCTCCACGCGTTTTCAGATGATGAAGCATCCTACGGGTATTTTCTCGTACGACCGAATTCCTTGTGTTACGCCGAGTGATGTTTCGGGTCTCGAATCAGACCTGGAGGTAGGGCTGAGTATGAACTTGGAAATCAACTTAGGGCACCAATAAAGTTACTTAAAATATTATACGTACCTTCATGCGATCATGGGGCTATAGGGCACCTAGTCTGGATAGAGCATCGGAACATAAAATTTGAATTCGTGGCTTGAGAGGTCTGCCATCTAGATCCTAACTTATAGATTCTTCCCAGGGGCTTTTCACGATAACCAGGGATAGGTTTGGTTGTATCCAGGAAGCCTTGCTAATTGTATTGCTCACGAGGACGTTTTTTCTGATCAGAATCAACAAGTATTCTCTGGGAGTACTATAGATACCACAATACTTGACCTTGGTTAAGTTCCAAAAGTACGATAAACTCCTTATACAAATTATACCATCGCCCCATTCAGGAATGATGACGCCAATAGTAAAAACATTGCTATCATATTATATTCACCACACGCAGGGTTTAATTGACACTAGTGTGATATATACTCAAGACACAAGAGAGACAATTGAGCTTAGTTGTCTTCGCTTTTATTATCGCCTGATTCAAACCGCCCGATCCATCGATAGACCGTTAATGACAGCACTAACAGATATATCAGCAATTATTATGATACTGAATTAAAGGTTTGATCAATTTGACTTGTGCTAAGTATAGTCAAATCTACCAATAAGAGTACATATCTATTAGAACTATAATCGCCTTATAATGATATGGATTCTCAGTCTTTATTAAGCTTTACGCATGCTCCCTAAATATAATGCACATACTTTGTAAGGGCACCAACTTACGTTCCCAAGAGTACCCTTAATGAGATTTGGCTGTAACCAGAAACAAAGTGCGGAGTATCTAAACTCAAATATTATTTACTGGAGAACCCCCCATATAAGGCGATAGAAAGGGCTCTATCAATTCCATTACTATAGAAAGATGGTAAGGAGGTGCCCACTTCCCGGATGATAGAGAAAATCGAGGGTTTTATTCAACTAGTAACCGCGATTTGGTTAGGACGAAGATGAGACGAGTTATAGAACCGAAAAATAGGATAGAACGTCTTGTCTTCTATTGCCTACCGGAAGTCCTCTGTTACCAGACAAGAAGACTATTTACATTGCAGATCTACATTAATGCCATGGCCATGTGGCAGCTCGCCAAACCAAAACCTGCGGAGAGAAATGAAGCTGGTACTGATACTAGTTTGAATTTAATACTATCAAGGTGGATTTGAGATTTGATATTGTGGGCAGTCTTAAGAGGCCTTAGGTAACTTTGCATACATAACTCAGCGACGAAAGTCCCTATATATAGCTTTCCATAAAAAAATTATGAATAGTGTATCCCATACAGGAGCAAAGGTTTATACCGGATATGGGTGAAAAGATCGACCGCAGAGTACATAAGTACCCAGCGTAGTAGTTTATAATTACTACACTCGATCTTGTAGAGAAGTAGGTAAGTACAGTGGTCTCTACAATTAAGTATTTACTCATATTTGAACAGCGAGGTAGATAATTTGGTTAGAATACTATACCGGTATAGTTGTTCGTTAACCATCAACACCCACCCACCCACCCACCCCCGGCCAATTATGAATATTAGTTTCTAACAAAGCAAATTAAAACACCGATAGTGAGGCACTAAACGCACAGTGATATCTCGATAGATCGGGCACAGTACTTTACCGTTAATTGAGGGTTGTGTCGGATCATATTTGTTTTCTCACCAGAGCGAGAGATTTCAATGGTCAGAGGATAATAGTCCAGGCAGGCCCGCTATTTAGTTGATCTGGTCCGTAACACTTATATTCGGTCCATGTATCCAGTCCATAGCGTAATGAACGGCCGGCCTTACAAACATATGTTTATTTCCACTTTCTGATACGTATTTCGCTTAAAATAAATCATCTTTTATCTTCTATTTTTAAGGCTCTCTTACTATATTTAATACATATAGGACAGATTTGGTGGTAATTAAAGTTCCTCTAACAAAAATATGGCCCTCGACAGATCGTTCCACCGACATCACCAGCACCTACATGCAGTCTATAGTCTAGTTCAGTCCGCCCGGCCTGCCGTATTATTCTAGCCCGGTTCAAGGCCATTCCTTGGGCCATTCTAGTCCGTTGGAACTTCTGCTAGAACTTGAAGTTCTCAGCACTACTAACATTACAATAACCAGTTCATTCTAGCATAATCAGGAAACAAAGGCAAAAGCATCACCCTTCTGTCTTCCACCTTGAACCTCATGGCTACATGTACAGCCACTCTGCAAAAGTGCTCGTGACTCCGATTTCGGAGTGAGACATTTCTCCATATGTTACCATGGTGGGCCATCAAGAACCCCACAAGAGAAGACTTTCCCAGTGACCAATGGCGCCTAAATTAATGAAGAATAAGATCAATGACCTATCTTCTTTTTACACGTAGTCACGAACTATATTATTTATTTTTCGTTGTTTTGAATCTCAACTTTAATAACATCAATATTACCGGTGCGCCACACCGCGGCCGCGCAGTGACATTAAAACTAAATCACGAACACTTTTGCTGAGTGGCTGTATGTACTGAAAATATAACTGTTGTATGATTTGTATTTGTCTTTCATCAATTCTTGACCTAGCATTTCGCTCTTCCTTCCTCGAGAAGTCTCGTAGATCATCTCAGCTAATACTACCAGCCTTTCCCTCTCACTTAAGAATAATGTGGGTTATATCTTTCTGCCCAATTAAGCTTTCAAACTTTGGGGTTTAGGGGCTAAGTCACCTTACCACTGGTGCTAACTAATCAATCCCTGGAAACACTGATATATATACATATAGAGTAACACTATGGTACGTAAAGTAGATACTACCTTTTCACAAAGGCTAGGTAGTTGGCATGGATGGGCAAAGCTAATCCCAGCCCCAAAACTGACAAATTAATGGCACTGGGTCGATGGGGATGGTTAGATCGCCAGTGCATAAAACGGTTCGTGCATAGGGCTAGTTGCTAATTCCAGCAGCCAAGATTTGAGTTGCGCGTCGTAGGTAGTACATGTGTTCTGAGTCGCCGGCCCAAATTAAACCAAACGACTTCAGGGACTGTCAAGAAGATATCTGCCAAGACTTCCGATATTAGGCTCCTCCTCCTTCAAAGATTGATATGTATATAATTAGTAATAGCGGGGAGGGTCAATGACCTTTACAGCTTAACTACGGCTCGAGCTCAAGAACACGGGTTATCAAATGCATAGAAGCCCACGCCACGTCAATCTGTTCTTTGACCTTCCAAGAGCAGAGCATATCAAGTATTCACTGACAAATAAATATTGAACTCTGTGATAGCTCAAGCAGCTATACACAACATAACTATAGACACACATACCTAATTGCGACGCTTCATTTCTGCCCATTGCGCAAGGTGACAAAAATGAAGCTTTATGGGTACTGTATGGAGCCGGTGGATGAAAGATACATGTACTCTAATATGTGATTATCGCCAAACTACCACTTAAGCTTTAGCTGTGGATAAGCATCAATCGAGTGCTCCTTCGTGATACGAGAAAGCACCAAGCCAAAGAAGCACCGTAGTGAGTATTTTCAGTGTACAAGGTCCAGACTTCTTGGTAAAATGAACCGGACCGAGATGCATCTGGTTCTTTATTTTGCCTGCCAAAAATACTTGGTATTGCACGTACATACATGTAGTTGAAGTATCCCCCGCCTCTTAGTACTCACCCTAGATTATGACCTCGATATCAAAATTTCACCACCGGCTTTCTCGGCGGCAAGTAAAATAGATACCCAATAACAATTAAATATAGTTGGCTAAATTACATGAAGTTTTCCGGAGCCACACCCAAATTGTATGCACAGATACCTTGTATCATGAAATATATAATTTTACCAGAGCGGAATGCTGCAGTTGCAAGAAGCTTTTCGTTGGACCAAGGAACCGTTGACGCACGGACTGTGGATCATTGAAGCGCCTCTATCCCTGTACGATAGCGAATTTTAAAAGTTGATGCGGCTGAAAGCAGCAACGGCTAAAAAGAAACTAATGACGTCGAAGCTGGGCACCCGGCTTATCACCGTAAAGATCTGGATTCTGTGGCCTTTCTTTCTTCGGAGGGCTCTCAATTGTAGAGTGGGGAGCAGTGCGATAGGGGTTTGTAGAGCAGGCTGTAGTCTGTGTGCATAAGTACATGTAGGTACATACATGTAGTTATTTATGCGGATATAACTCTGATATAACTCCATAACTAATCCGTTGTCACACTCATGATGTTTCCCCTCATCCTTTGATTCACAAATGGGATAAAATAGATACCAATCCACATGCTGGTTTTTTGATATGAAAATACCGGTATCGTCCCGGTCCTTGCCGTTTCCATGTGTATGCCTTCCTAGCGAGCAATGAGGAGCGCCTGGAGATGCAGTTCCTGGAATGGTGACGGCGTGAATCCCCGCTACCCCCGTTCTCCTAGATACACAAGAAGTTGCCTGTTGGCGGCGCGGTTTCTGCCATTAGTTGAGCCAAAGGTAGAGCTGGAACTTGGCTGCGTTTACAGTGCAGGAAAGCTAAAGAAGTGCCTTCCCGGAAGAGGGACTGGTTTGTTTCGTGGTCCACCTCTGTTACGTCGTTTACTGCGTGGGTTCCTGATATCACTGGCTGAGCTATTATGCTTGCCCCACCGAACCCCTCTTCATCTTCGCCCGCCTCCTCCCTTTATCATCCTCTCCATCTCTGCTATCATCGTATCTCATCAGTGATTCCCATAAAAATTTTCAGTAGCAGCATACTTTGAAGATGGTGAAGCACGGATCTCACTCATACCTTTGTGCGGAGGAACGACGATTGAAGGAAGACAGAGATAGAACAAAGTATTGGAAGAAGTGGGGACCGTATCTCAGCGAGTAAGTCAAACTCAAGATGAAGAAGGGATAATGAACAACTCTGGTTAACCTAGCTACAGGCGTCAATGGGGAACAGTTCGTGAAGATTACTCGTAAGTTTACTATAACCCTTCTCTCAGTACAACTATTCAGATTACAGTTCAATTGGAAATAGATGCTAATCGAATGATTCTTTGCCATTTATTAGTGAGAATGGTGACGCATGGACCCGTATGTTTTCAAGCCCATTTTTAATCATTTCACTTATCCTTCATATGGTATCTCTTTACTGATGATATTGATTTGCCACTCACTCCAGACTTTCCTCATGACCATGCAAGATCACGCACCTACCGTTGGGGTGAGGATGGTATTGCTGGTGTGTCCGATTCACATGGTCTTCAAAACATCTCTTTTGTCTTCTGGAACGAACAGGAGTATGAGATTCCCTTTACCTCACAAATTTTCAGGGACAGTTTGCTAAATGATTGAACAGTGATTTCCTGAAGGAACGTTTGTTTGGTCTCTCGAACCCCCAGGGAAACCATGGAGAGTCCCTCAAAGAGGCCCATTTTCATCTTGACAATACTCCCACTCACTCGTACATGAAATATCTTTACAAGTACCCCCAGCGGAAGTTCCCTTACAAGACCCTTGTCGAGGAGAATGCAAAGCGCAGTAGGGATGTTCCGGAATACACACTCCTCGACACAAACATCTTCAAGTATTAGTTCCTCTAAATTTTGTTGATCTAAATAAAGATAGCCTTTCCTAAGCACTGCATTTCTAGGGATGATCGTTACTGGGATATTATCATCGAAACCGCCAAAGACACTGAAGATGAGGAAGAGCTCCTTTTCCGTATTACTGCCTGGAATCGCGGTCCAGAACCTGCACCTCTTCATATCATCCCTCATATGTGGTTCCGTAACACCTGGTCATGGGGTCATGAAACGCCAGACAAAAAGCCCGAGATCTCCCAGAAGTCTCCTTTCCTCGCGGAATCAAAGCATTGGTCCTTGGGATCTAGGTATATGCAGCTTTCGCCATCTCCTGGTGTTACTGCGGACTCTGAAGATGTGATGCCACAACTTCTATTCACAGAGAACGATACTAATTTCGAGGTTTTGTACGGCGGAGAGAATGAGCAGCCATATGTGAAGGATGCCTTCCACCGTTACATTGTGGACGAGGAGAAAGAGGCAATTAACCCAGCACAGAAGGGAACAAAGGCAGCAGCATGGTACGCTTTTGAAGAAGGGGATGGTATCGCGCCTGGGGCTTGTGCAGTAGTCCGATTCAAGTTTACCAAAAACCCCAACAAAGGTAATGGCGATGACGTTGCCCCTAACGCCGAGATTGATGAAGCCGGAATCGACGAAGAAGAGTTTGATGATATGATTGAGCGTCGTAAGTCGGAGGCCGATGAGTTTTACTGGCGTATCTCGCCTCTTCCCATGGCGGATGATCTCAGGAACATTCAGCGTCAAGCATTGAGTGGTATGTTATGGACAAAGCAGTTTTATCACTTTATTTGGGACCAATGGGCGAATGGCGATCCTGCACAGCCACCACCACCTCCAGGAAGAAAGGGTATTAGAAATCAACAGTGGAGACACATGCATCTGGATGATATCCTCAGTATGCCAGATTGCTGGGAGTATCCATTCTTTGCGGCGTGGGATACGGCATTCCACACGATCCCGTTGGCGATGGTGGATCCAGATTTTGCAAAGAAGCAATTGGATGTGATGACCAGAGAATGGTACATGCATCCTAACGGACAGGTATGCTTCCATAACCAAGTATTGATGGTTTTTTGTTTTTTCTTCTATGGAAGTTAACTTCGGACTAGATCCCAGCTTATGAGTGGAACTTTGGAGATGTCAATCCTCCAGTTCACGCCTGGGCCGTATTCAGAACATTCAAAATGGAGAGAAAACTGTACGGCAGAGAAGATCTTGACTTTTTGGAGCGCGTCTTCCAGAAACTCTTGCTCAACTTTACATGGTAAGTTACATAACCAACGATGTTCTTTTTGACGAGTGATTTCTTATGATTCGGTTCGTTAGGTGGGTCAACCGCAAGGACTTTGACGGCAAGAACGTTTTCGAGGGTGGTTTCTTGGGGCTTGACAACATTGGAATCTTCAACCGTTCCGAGCCGTTGCCTACCGGAGGTGTTTTGGAACAGGCCGATTCCACTGGATGGATGGCATTCTACTCGCTGAACATGTTGAACATTGCCCTCGAGCTCGCAAAACACAGGCGTATTTACGAAGACATTGCAAGCAAGTTTTTCGAACATTTCATCTTCATCAGTGATGCGATGACATACAAGGGCGATGGAGAAGGTGGCGAGTCCAGTCTGTGGAACGAAGAAGACGGGTACGCATTTTTTTTTTTTTTTTTCTTCCCACGGTTAATTGAATCTGCTTGTTAACCCCCCAAAATTAGATTCTATTATGATGCAATTTCCTGGGGAGGACCTTGGTCACAGCAGATGCCTGTCAAGTCTCTTGTCGGACTTATTCCGTTGTATGCCGTTCTCACGCTTGAACCGGAGTTGATGAACAAGTTCCCTAGCTTCAAGAAGCGGGTGGATTGGTTCGTTCAAAACAGGAACGATGTTGCTGAGCGAAACATTGCAAGCATGTCCAAGAGAGGACAGGGAGACCGAATGCTGCTGTCCCTTGTAAGCAAGGACAGGCTGGTCAGAATCTTGGAAAAGATGCTGGACGAAGATGAGTTTTTGAGCGACTACGGTATCAGATCGTGAGTTGCCATTCTGAATAAATTTCCGCTTAGGGATACACTTGCTAATCACATCGGGATGAAAGACTATCCAAATACCACAAGGACAAGCCGTATTCCATGAACGTGAACGGACAGGAGTTCAAGGTGGACTATGTCCCAGGTGACTCAAACAGCTCGTTGTTTGGTGGAAACAGTAACTGGCGAGGAGTAAGCCATTTCTTATACGATGCTCTATGTGATCCCTGGCCGCTAACGTAACTCGTACAAACTTAGCCCATTTGGCTCTGCGTCAACTTCTTGCTCATCGAATCTCTTCTAAGATTCTACATGTTCTACGGCGATGATTTTAAGGTTGAGTGCCCCACGGGCTCTGGTGAATACATGCACCTTGGGCACGTGGCCGAAGAAATCCAGCATCGTCTGCAACACATCTTTGCGCAGGGCGAGGATGGGCGCCGGGCATGCAACGCCGGTAACGATCTCCTCGACTACAACCCGCACTGGCGTGACAACTTGTGGTTCCACGAGTTCTTCCACGCAGACGATGGGCGTGGCCTGGGAGCGTCCCACCAGACGGGCTGGACCGGGCTGGTTGCAAAGCTGATCCACGACTCTGGTATCAACTGCCGTGTACCCCAAACCCCACGCACACCCGGCACTGCTGCAAACCATTACTTTGACGATATATTCTCCAGAGTCAACAAGCCGAAGCCCTACATGGGCCGGCGCCAGTCAACGAGGAGTATCGACGCCAGGAGTGACTGGGGCGGCGACGAGGACGAGGAGGAGAGGCTGGCGAGAGAGAGGGACGACGAGGAGGTGCTGGGCTATGTCAACCAGCAGCTGCAGAGAGTCAAGAGCAACGCGTCCGTGTTTGGCGTGGAGGACGATGAGTTGGAGACGACATGGCGTTGATTGTAGATAGAAGTCAAGGGTCAAGCGGGGGGGTATATCTTGTGTTTTGGTTTTTGTCTCTTTTCTTTTTTTTTTTTTTTTTACCGGTGGACACTTTGTAGGATTTTGAAAGAATATATGGCCCTATACTCTCTATATACATATATAGCAACGAATGAGAAGTAGATCAAAGTAATGCAAGAGAAGAAAGAGGATTGAGTAGAGTAGCATTTACCGGACGGGTGATCATTGGCCCTTGCCAGCATGATGCAACAGCTGTGCCTGCGTATGATGGGTTGCCAGTCATTGATCAATTAATCAATCTACGCAGTTGGGCATTCACGACCCTTTACTGAACGCCTTAGTGTAATATTAATTATCAATCGTCTCAGACTACGCATAATATGAACTATCAGCCATTGATCAATTTACCTACGGATAATAACAGTCAGTGCCCACGCTGGACAGAAACAAACATCAGCAACACCACAACGCTCGACTTGTATTCTCTTTCTAGCTATAAGCTAAAAGCTACAGAAGCACTCTATAAACCCACCTCTTCCTCCCCCCAAACACACCTACACTACACTACACTACACTACCACCCACAACTACACCGCCGTCAAAGCCTTAATCTCCTCCAACGCATCCACAAAATCCTCCCACTCCACCCTCTCCCCGCCACCCTACGCACCCACACCTCGGCGCCCCCGGGCGCCCTCAGCCCCCTCTCCACCACCGCCACATAGTACACACACGCGGCCGCCACCGCCCGCGGCGGGAAGAAGTTGCAAACCTTGTACCGCGTCATGGCCACGCCGACCTTGACCCAGACGGCGCGGCCCAGCGCCGTGTCCTTCAGGTCGACGACGCGGCACTCGAGCCGCTCCTCCTCGGCCGACGGCGGGTCGGAGAGCGTGAGCGCGCGCTCGAGCAGGCGCGGGAGGTACTCGTAGGGCAGGGGCAGGCGCAGCTCGAAGCGGAGGACGCGCAGGAGGAGGAGCTCGGCCGTGACGAGGGTTGAGCGGAGGGCGTCGTAGAGGGGGGAGGGGAATGTGAGGGGGGCGGAGGTGGGGTGTTGCAGGGTGTAGGCGGGGATGAGGAACTCGCGCAGGCGACGGGGGGATTCGGTGGCTTTTGTGGCGAGGGAGAGGGAGGCGAGGGAGAGGGTCTGCTTGGGGGGAGGATGTCCCGTGGGAGGGGGCAGGGGATGTTAGCTGGTGTTCTACTTGGGCAAGTTATGGAGGAGGGGGAGAGACGTGTTCGTCGAGGAGGTCAGAGACGCGGGACTGCGGTGAGTCTGCGTCTGCGTCTGCGTCTGCGTCTGCGTCGGTGTTGTCGGCGCTGTCCGTGTCGGCGCACCAGCGCTTGTAGCGGTGGATGTACACGTAGGCCATTGTCAGCGTCTCGCTCGACAGCCGCAGCGTGTCGGCCATGAGCGTCAGGAACGTGGCCGGGTCGTCGGAGGGGAGCAGCAGCGGCGCGGCGGGGGCGGCGGAGGAGGAGGAGGAGGACTTGCCGAGAGGGCGCGAGGTGGAGCGGCGCGGGGAGGGCATTGTTTGTGTGGTGTTTGTGGTGTTTAATTGTAGAGATGGGGGGTGGAGTTGGAGTGTGAATAGCTGCCCGCCAAGATGTGAGGCTGAAAAGGTGAGCTGACTATCTACAACTATCTACAACCCACAACCCCACAACCCACAACTCTCTACACTCCCCCACCACAAACACAAACACAGCAATGGCCGAACCCCGCCTCAAAGCCACAATCTTCGTCGGTCCGTCCCCCCTCCCCCTCTGTCCCCACCTCCCCCCTCCCCCTCCCCCCAATTCCACCCCACTAACCCCCACCCCACAGGCGGCCTCGACCCATCCATCACCGCCCCCCTCCTCCACGCCGCCTTCCTCCCCTTCGGCGCCATCGCCTCCGTGCAGCTCCCGCGCGACGACCGCAGCACCGACCCGCACCGCGGCTTCGGCTACGTCGAGTACGAGGACGCGGCCGACGCCGCCGCCGCAATCGATAACATGGACCAGGCGCAGCTGGCCGGCCGCGTGCTCAACGTCGCGCAGGCGAAGCCGCAGAAGGAGGGAGTGGTGCTGGGGAGTAAGGTTGCTGTTTGGGAGCAGGTATGTTTCTCTTGTTTCCTTGTGGTGTGGGGGATGGGGGATGGGGGCTAATGGGGGGACGCGGTGGGCAGGAGAGCTGGCTGGAGAAGCATGAGGTGAGTGAGGAGGATAGAGCGGCAGCGCAGGGCGCGAAGGAGGAGGCGATGGGCGAGAGGAGGGGCGATCCGATGCAGGGGCTGGAGGGGCTGGATGTTGCGGGGCCGAAGCCGCAGTAGTGGTGGGTGGTGATTGTAGTCTGGGGGTTTTCTTTCTTTTTTCTTTTTTCAAAAAATTATATTCTTTTTTCTAGCTGGCGTTAGGGAGCATGTATAGCAGAAGATCGAATGGCTTTTAGTTTCGGGCCGTAGGAGGACATGATAGTGGTGGGCGGTGAGTAGTAGTAGGGAATAATGAAAACAAGACACCGATATCATTTCCACTCCCATTGTCACTTCTCTCTACAACCCACTCTACAACCCGCTCTACAACCCACTCCACAATTACACAAATCACACAAATCACGCAAACCACAAAATCACACAGTGCACCACACAAAAGCCAGACATCCAAGCAGTGATATCTCACGCATTGCATTGCATACTAACTACCTACAAAACCATCCATCCCTATGTACTCCATCCCCCCTCCCCTTCCGGCTATAATTGCCATCAACCAACCAATCACGCTTGTAATTGCACTTAGTGGCCGGACCTTGGGGAGCGCGACAGACGCAGCTGCTTGTCCACCCACAGCTTGCGGCCCATGGAGAAGAATGCCACTGCCGATATACGTCAGTACTTGCACAGTAGATATAATATATACAACCCAGGCCGCCGGGGCCGGACAAAGGGGATGGAAGGGGGGGGGGGGGGCAAAGGGAGGGAGGGGAGGAAACTCACTTCCGACACCGGCACTGCGCGCACACACACACCACGGGGAACTACGGGTTAGCTTTCTGTTCCTTACTACCGCTTTGCGATCTTATCATCATCTGGGGTTGGATGGAGGGGGAGTACCCGATAACGACACCTACGAAACACATCATCAGTCAACACGCACAGGCACAAACAGACGGGAAGGGAGGGAGGATCATACCGAGAGGGATCAATTCTGGGGGGACCTTCTTGAGCTGTCTCAGCCTCTGAGAGATGGTGTGCGCTGGTGGTTTAAAGAGCGTTAGTATCTCTGGATATATCCCTTCCATCGTTTCCATTTTCCATTTCCTTTCTTTTCTCCCCAGGCTCCCTCTTCGTCCTCGCCCGCAGGCTGGGCGGGCGGAAGGGCAGGCGGAGGAGGAGGAGGAGGAGGAGGAGAAAAAAAACACAAATGCTCGGATGATCTCGTACCACTTTGTTCCTGCTTCTACAGTTGCAACCCCCTTCCCGTCAGCGTCTCTTCTTCATTCATGCCACTCGTCTCTTCTTCCTCCATTCATCCCATTCACTCCTTCATGGGGCTGGGGGCACATACTGGCATAGGCATTGCGGACGTTTCGTTTCAAAAGATTGAGGGGAGATGTGCAGTTGTGTGGTTGTGTTGTTTAGTGGGGTGTGTGGTGGTGGTGGTGGTGGTGGTGGGTGGTTCAAGGCTGTTCGTTCGTTGCGCGAGCGATCGGATGAGAGATGTTTCAGAGGCTAATTGATTCGCTGCTTTAACACGCGGCCCCCCTGGACGGTGGGGCGGGGGAGTGTGTGGGTCTTGTGTGTGGCAGTGTGGTTAAAGCGGCGTGGGGGTTCTCCGGGTAACGAGGCTAATATGACGACACCCCGCGCGCCCGGCCGCGGTCGAGGAGTGTGTGGGGGATGGAAGTATTGTATCATGTTTTTTTATTGGATGATTGATTTTATTATTATTTCTAATTATCGATCCTTGACCCGGAACTCCTTCACCGCCCATCACTCGGCCCACAGCTATCACGGCCTCTCAACAACCACAAAAGTCGCCCACCCGCCAGCCACAACCTCCACCACCCTCCCCTCCCCGATATCTATCTCCCTCCACTCCTCGCAAAACTCTTCACCCCCCACCCCCAGCTGCCCACTCCCGGCCCTGCCCACACCCCACACCCTCCCCCCCTCCGTCAGCACCACAACATGCCCCATCCCCACGCCCACCCCACCACATCCACGCCCCTCTCCACATCCACCACGCCCACCTCCTCCCCCCCATCCGCTCCCACCCCTCCCAAATCACAAATCACACCCCCATCCTCCCCCGCGCGCCCGCCCCACAGATACACATCGCGCTCCGCGCTCCGCGCCGCACCAACCCACCCCCCCGCCGCAACCCCCGCCATCGCGATGCCGTCGAGCGCGTCGACCAGCCCTGGCGCGTCCGGCGGCGCAGTGCTGGTGCCGGTGTCGCGCGCGAGGAGGCGGCTGTGCCGCGGGTCGCCGGCGGTGTAGATGTGTCCGCGGGCGCTGAGGAGGGCGAATGATGTTGCGGTGGCGGCGATGGCGGTGATGCGTGATGTGGCAGAGAAGGTGTGCGTGGCGGTGGGGGGGTGGGAGGCGAGGAGGGAGGCGAGGGTGGGGTGGGCGTGGATTACTATGGGGGGGGAGGGGATGCTGTGAGTAAAATGTATATGTATGGGCCTTGTGGGGTGGGGTGGGGTACCGGTGCCGTTGGAGGTGCTGCTGAGGACCTTGCCGTTGCCGGCGATGGCGAGGAGATGTATCTCTGACGCTAGCGGGTGGCACTCCCATGCCCCAGAGGGCGCGCGCACGTATGCCGTCGTGTGGCCGCTGCCGCCGCCGCCCCCGCCCCCAAGGATGACCTTGAGCCCCAGCCCGTCGCCGAAGGCTCTATATGGGGGTTTGCAGGACTGCGGGAGCGGCTGCAGAGACCCTGCGCCTCTGTGGTGGAGTTTGTTGTCGAGCTCGACTGTGCATCTACCTGTCAGCTGGATGGATTGCAATTGTCTAGTATAATGTAGGAGGAGGGAGAGGGAGAGGGAGAGAAAGGCATACGCAGCGTTTCAGACCATCCAGCGAAGAGGATCCTTGCGGAGGTCTCGGCGCGCGCTATGACGGTGGGCGTGAAGATGTCGGCGGGGATTGCGTCGTCGTCGCTGGGGAGGAGCTGGCCGTGGGCGTTGAAGCCGCAGGCGAGGATGTCGAAGGGCATGGTATGGTTTTGGGGGTGTTTATAGATGGTGGATGTGAGAGCTGGAGATCTAGAGATGGCTAGCTGTGAAATGGAGAATGCATGGTGAGGGCGAATCTATGTGTGTATGTACAGCACGGCCTGGTGGGTAGATTCAATTGCATTGCACGGGTGAGGAGGGCGTGGAGCTGCAGATAAAAGGCAGTTGGCAGAGCCGCGGTTTTATCTCTGGTAGAGATTGTTATTTAGATATCGATATCGAGCTGTGAAGCATTAACTGATTACTATCGACCATTAACCTATCATAGGCATACTACAAGTCTCACTCGGCCGCCCGGTGAGAGTGCGCTACTAGCTAGCACTGTTGAATCATACGCTACTTGTCATGGGGCGGCAGTGTATTCGAGTCGATACTAATGTTTAGCTATAGACCTACCCTCGTTACCCACCAAGCGAGTTCACCACCTACCGAGCTTGGGGTCTTCTCTCACGCAAACCTGTAGCCAAGAGATACCTGTGTGAGAATTGGTCGCTGTGCTCGGTGGGCGGTGAACTCGCTTTCTGAGCTCGAATGATAGGTGATAGCTGTGAGTATATATACATATCACCCACCACTCGAGCTCAGAAAGCAACAACTAAAACACTAACAAAGCAAAGATTCATTTACTTGTTTAGTATTAAGGCGCCTATAAAAGAAGCACATGCACGCTATCACTAAAATATCTATCAAAAAACAAGTCCCATACCTACCCGCCCAACCCCCACCACCACCACCACCACCACCACCACCACCTACAACTCCTTCTTCCTCCTCCCCACCGGCTCCCTCCTCACCGCCCCCTTCCCCAACAACGCCTCCAGCACCACAATCACCAAATACACCACCCCCACCAGCGTCCTCAGCGCCCTCTCCACCAACCCCCTCCCCGGCGGCCTCACCCCCTTCACACACCTCGCATCCCTCACCTCAAACGGCACCTCTGCCCCCAAACCCCCCACCGCCGCGCGCAACCCCGACGTGAACCCATCCTCATGGAACCCATAGCCCGTCCACGCCCCCGCAAACGTGATCCCGCGCTTGCCCTGTATCTCTGGGAGACGCCGCTGCGCTGCCACAGCCTCGGGCGTGTACAGCGGGTGCTCGTACTCGTACACGCCCTGGACGGTGGCCGGGTCGGGCGGCGAGAGCGGGTTGAGCGTCACAAGCACGTCGCCGAAGCGCTGCGGCGGGATGTATTGCAGGATGTTCATGTTGTAGGTGAGCGAGACCTGGGCGACGTTGGCGGACGTGGGCGTCGAGGACGTGAGGTAGTTCCAGGCGGCCCATGCGGACTTGCGGACGGGGAGGAGCTGTGTGGTGGTTAGTATGTGGTAGTATGTGGTATGGGTATGGTATGGTATGGTATATGGGTGCTGTGTGCGGGGTGGAGGGTATCAAGGGTTTTGTAGTGTAATGGATAGCACACGGGATTTTGATTCCCGTAATCTGGGTTCGATCCCCAGCAAGACCTTGAATTCTTCATGCCATCCTTCACTCTTTCTTTCTCTCCTCCCCCTCCAGAGGAGTGCAGGAATTGTGGGAATGGATAATTTTTTTTTTTATAATTCTACAACAGAACAAAGCACATACCTTTTTATCGCCATGCAGCACCGCCGTGTTCCTGCTCGTGCGGAACTCGCCCAGGATCTCCCGCTCCGTCTCCGTCGCGCCCTCGCCAAGCAGCCGAAGCGCCTGGTCGCCGTGCGTGGCGACAATCACGTGGTCGTACTCGTACTCAAACTCGACGCTCCCGCGCTTCGCCGACACGAGCACCTTCTCGCACCCGTCCTCGCCGATGCTGCCGCTGCCCCGCACCGACGTGACGGGCATGCACATGTGCACCTGGTGCGCCGGCACCGCCCTCGCCACGGCCTCGACATAGTTCTTTGCGCCGCCCTTGACGGTGAGCCACTGCGGGCGCGACGACACGATGTTCAGCAGGTTATGATTCCACCTTCACCAATACCAATTGTTAGCCCACACCTTTCACAACCCGACAGAGCGGGGGGGTGGGGGAGGCAGGGATATAAAGGCATGCATACATGAACCTCACCAGCGTCACCGCCGGGAACTCCAGCGCACATGTATCAGGGCTGGTGCTCCACACGGCGGCCGTCATGGGGATGAGGTAGTCGTTCCTGAATGCGTCCGAGTATCCCTCACGATCCAGATATGCGCCGAGTGTCTCTTCCTCGGAGTCCCCCTCGGAGGAGGTGGTGAGGAGGTCGAGCGCAAAGGTGTTGAAGCGGATGATGTCGAACAGCATGCGCCACATTGACGGGCGGAAGAGGTTGGAGCGCTGAGCGAAAAGAGAGGACAGGCTGCTGCCAGACCATTCGAAGGCGCCCTGGTCGCGGGTGACGCTGAATGTCATTTGTGTGGGGATGGTGGGGATGCGGAGGTGCTTGAGGAAGGAGATGAAGTTTGCTGTTTGGCGGGGAGGGTGGGGGGTTAGTTTTTTTTTTTTTTTTTTTTTTTTTTTTTTTTGGTTTTCTTTTGATATTGGTGTATATGGAGCTATGATGGTGGGCAGGTGGATATGGGGTATGGAGCTATGACAGGTGGGCATTGGGGGGGGGGGGGGATATACGGTAAGTGGCAGCATTCATCACAATGAAGCCCGTGTCGACGGCAATGATCTCGGAGCCGTGCTTGTAGGTGACGGTGTGCGTGTGCCCGCCGAGATAGTCGGCGGCCTCGAAGAGGTGCACCTCGTGCGTGCGCTTGCTGGGGTCGTGTGTGAGGGCCCATAGGGCGGCCAGGCCGGAGACGCCGCTGCCGATGATGGCGACTTTGGGGAGGATGGGCTGCTCGGTGGGCGTGGGGGGGCCGGAGTCCATCTTTAATTATGAGTAGAGATATATACTAGGTTAGGTATATGGGGAGGAAAAGAAGAAGAAGAATTACTAGAAGCCAGAAGGAAGGAAGGAAGGAGATGTGAGAGAAGACACAGGACAGGCAGTCAGTCAGTCAGTCAGTCAGTAGAAATGGAAAAGAAAAAAGAAAAAACTGCGAAGGGGTGGGTGGGGTCCGTCTATAAAAACAACCTCCAAAGGGCGGGGATGGATGGATGGATGGATGGATGGATGGATGGACCCGGAATGGATTACAGAATTATATTAAGCTAGCTATGCGTAGGCATCTAGAGGTACATCTGCTCCAATGCACTCTCCTCCAAGTAGAGTAGCTACTCACTCTGCTCTGCATATACCATCATCATCACCATCTGCTCTACTCTCCAGCCAGACAGGCGCCTAGCTAGCATTCTCCTCCTTCCTTGCGTTTTGGAGAGAGGGGAGGGGGGGCGCCCGCGCATTTCTCACGATGGCAGGAATGAATGGTGACCCCACAGATCGCGGGTCCCTAGCTTAGTTATAGCTCTCGCTCCAGGGTCCGCACGGGCCACCCTGCAGGTACGACATTTGTTTTTTTGTGTTTTGTTTTTCTGGAGAACAATGGGAGAGAGCATTCCTCGATAGCAACAACAATATTACAGACATTCAGTACGGGACAGCGTGTGTGTGTGTGTGTGTTTTCCGTTTCAAATGTGAAATGCAAATGAGTATCTCCGACTCTATCTATCCGTCCGTACCTGTATGTATGTCGCTGTAGGCACATACAAAAAAAGGTGTTTTAGGCTATGTATCCAGTGGTGTACATGAGGTAGAAGTATGTGTACGTAAATTCTGCCAGTTCATAGGTCGCTGGAAGGGAAGAACCAGGGATGTATTCTCGCGGTGCATCATCCGTTCCTCCCCTTCCACATGCTGAGATGGAACGCCGAAGAACAAGTGGAAGCAGAACAAGTAGAGTTGGGCAGATAACGTTGACCTCGGGATCCCGCTCATCCATCCCTTCACCTTCCCTTCCTTCCTAGGATTATTCTTTCCTTGTGAAATGGCACCATGGACGAAATAATGCGCAGGATAATTAGATGGGAGTTACACGACCCGAGGGATATTCCCGTCTCCCGGTTCTTGGATTCTGGCAGACAGCAAGACAGGTAGAGTGGTAGGGTGGTAGAGTAATGGTGGTGGTAGCGGGAGTGAGTAGTAGTACTAGCACGAAAGTAATCACTCACTCATTCACCAACTACATGTACCGGGGGTTATGGGTTTGTCTGAAGAACCTTTTTTTTGGCGTATGATTGGTTGAAGCTGCAGAAAATGATACTTGGCGCCAGAAAAAGTACTTGAATAGGCTGCCCCCATATTTTGCAATGCAACCTCCAAGACCGCAATTTGACTGTCATTTGCACCCAACTTCATCAGAAAACACTCCCCACAAGGGTTTATGAGCTCAAAATATTATCTAGGGGAAGCTGGGAGCCAGCGCTATTCTGCAGTTATTTTTTTGTATTTTTAGCAAAATATTTAGATTTTTGAGTAGAGATATATGAAAGTTCTTCAGACTTTTTTCCCCCATACAAATTTGGTGCACTAAGGCCGGTGTGATTGATGGTAATTGGTTGCTCTCTATAAAATCCCTGCATTTTCAACCAATGAAGCAGAGTTCTTCAGATTAATGGTGAACACCCGGTACTCTATTCAACCAACACACTCAATACTCACTCTAAGGTCTTCCTATTCGGACAACCCAGTAATCTAGGTTACTGGCGATAACCCGACCTTCAGATTATTGTAACAAACGCTGTCCGTGCAATTGAATAATCGAACTTTGCACTAAGAAAACAATCACCTCCAGAGGCAATTATTCAATTACTCCCACACAATACAGGTGCCTTAAGACACACCATGCAAATCCTTGCCGTTATGCTTGTTGCAACGTTGTCCGAACATGTAGGTTGTTCACTGGTTATGAGTACTCTATTGCGATTATTATTTCGCCATGATATAATAATCTGGGCTGTCTAATAATCCGAAGAAATAATTTATGGTTGTCATAGCAGGACTTCAATCATTCACTCACTCACAAACAATCATTCACCTACGAACTCGATCGAGTACCGATATTTCTGGGTTATACGCCCATGGGCTTAACGTAGAAAAATGCTTGCTGATTGGCTTAAGTCACGAGAATGTGCATACACCACCAGTTTTCCTTGACTTTCCTTCCACTACTTTGCTTTAAGCCCATGGGCGTATAACCTAGAAATATCGGTACGAGACGGCCCAAAAATTAAGAATTCATAATTATTTCATTGTACTCATAAAAATACCAACTTTAAAAGCCCTGGCCTCCACATCCTCTCCTCCCTCCCTCCCAAAACCCACAAACCCTCCCCACCCTCTGCCTGCCTTCCTTCCTGCCATCCATCGGGCACAGAAAAAAATACATGTAGCCAACCACTTGCCCCATGCCCAACCTCTCCCTCTTCCATCCTCTTAATTCATAAACCCCTTCGTGTCAACCCATCCCCGCGCCTTGGCCCTTGCGGTTTTAGATATCTCTATTTACACCCTTTTAAAACCTCGAAGAAAAAAAGAGAGAGAGAAAAGAATAATACTCAACAAAAAAAGTAATAAAAAAAAAACTCCCCTACCAAAAGAAAAGAAAAATAATAAAAGAAATGGGTAAATAACAATGCAAAGTGATATCATTCGAGAAAAAATCCACCGACCCACCCGGGCCAAAACCCACCATCACCTCTGAAAACTTTCCTCTAAAATCCGAGATTTCTTTATATCGGGTTCCTATAAAAAAAAAAGTATGGTGAAAAGGTAAAAAAAAAAAAAAAAAAAAAAAAAAAGAGGAACAAGGGGAAAAGGGAGAAAGGAAGGGAGAGAGGTAAGAGGGAAGAGGGAAATGGGTGAGATATTCCAGAAGATGCAGAGTAATAGGGACCACATATCAAATTGCGCCAAATCATATATCGCATCGTAGAAATAAGCGATCAAGAAGAGTGAGAAAAAAGAACAAGTAGACCCACTAAGAGCATGCAATGTATCATACAAAAAAAACGTTTGACTGCCCTACCCAAATACCTCAAGAAAAAAAAGAAAGAAAAAAAAGGAAATGAAACTCCCCAAATTCGTCAAATCCCTCCCTTCCCTCCCCTTCATCAAAACTCGGTTTTTTTTTTTTTTTTACGCAAGACACAGACAATTGTTTTTCATAAGATACGAGCAGGTGGAAACTAAAACAAGGGGAGAAAAAAGTAATTTGCCAAAGTAAAGATACAAGAAACGAAGAAAAAGGGGTAAAGTAAAGGAAATGATCATTGAACTAAGCCACCAAACGTGCCAACTATACTCCCCCATAAATTTGGTTTGGGGAAGTACCGGGGAATAACTAGATTAATTAGGTATCCGTCTGTGGTAGGTATAAAGCGCTACACCAACGAGGTGGGGTGTCTAAATCTCCGCCTTCTGAAGGGGTGGGTGATTTAATTACGGTGTTGGAGCAGGAGTTGAGGAGACGTGATACTTCGTGTGACGATGATGGCATGAACGGATACGATGAATGTGAACTTCAATATTTCGGGGAACAGGATATGAAGGCACCGCCCTTTTACAGTATTTTCCAGAGACATGAAATGCCTATTCTTCCTCGCTTTCTGACCCCGAGCTCTCGTCGTCATCACTGGATTCACTATCCGCATTTTCGGGAGCAGCTACGGAATTTATTAGCGATCTCTACTACTCATCGTGTCAATAATTATCACACTTGTAACTAACCTTGGGCAGAAGTGGGCAAAGGCGTTGGGTTGTCGAAATCATGAAGTCTGGCTGTGAGATCCTTGATCTTGGCCTCCTGTTCACTCGCAGACATCGGCTTGTTCTTCCGCGGCTTTGAGGGCGCCTTAGTCTTGGCCTTCGATTCCTGGGCTGGACGAGGTGGTGGTGGTGGCGGGACGTATTTGGCTTCAAGAGCTGGTGTATACTTTGATACATAAACATAGAGCTTGTATAAAGTTTGAGGGTCTAGCTCATCTATATCTAGCTCGATTTCGTCATTTTGACCCTGAAATTGCTGTATATTAGCAGATGTCAAAAAAATAATACATGCCCATAATTTCATACCTTGTCAATCTCGGGCATATTCTGCCTGATCATGTTGAGCGCATATGCCATCTTACCCGATGGCAAGAAATTGATCCTTTCGGATAGCTCGGTCTTCTGCTCCAAGGTGATGCGAGGTACATCCTTCTTACTACCAGATCTCTTAACCTTCTTTGCTGGTGGTGCTGGAGCGGCGGCTGTGGAGTTCTTTCTAGAAGGTCCAGCTTTGCCTTTTTTGGAATTTGATGAAACAGGTGGTGTTTTCTTGTTTTGTCGTTTGAGTGAAGAAAGTTGATCCTTCATCATTTCGAGTTGCTGCTCCAAAGCCTTAATATCGGGCTGATTAGGCTCCTCCTCTTCGCTCATCTCATCCTCATCGTGGTCTTCAGGTGGTGGCGAGGCGGAAGCGGGAGAATGGCTACCCGGGTTGTCCCTGACATATTTGGCTCGATCGGACCATTTTTCGTCGAATATACCCTCCAGGCGTTTACCCATCTGATGCACAGCTTGATTCGGAGGATTAAACTTGTAGCAATTCCTGAACATCAAGCGCAAATCCGCCTCGAAATCATTCCCAGTCTCATACTGATTCGTCTTGAGTTTGGACTGGATAGTACCAAGATCCATGGGCTTCTTGATGATTTTGAAGTACTCGGGGATATTAAGAGCCACTGGGTCCACCGGTGAATAAAATGGGAACGCATAGGGTTCATGGATTTTTTTGTGTAGCTCTTTAATGACCATATCGCAGAATTTCAGTTCGGAAGCATTCTTCTTGCGTCTCGGTTTTACATCTGAATACGGTAAATCCTTGGGAGCCGGAGGGTGAATTTCTCTCTTTGGCCTGCCATCGCCAGCTGTTGAGTCACGACGAATTTGCGGAATTCCAGACGGCTGGAGACCAAAAGTAGGGGAGGCAGCTATAGGCGATTGCGCAACTGTTTTTGCCTCCTTCTTAACTTGTGACGATTTAGGAGCTTTCGCAGCCGATGGCCGCGACGATCCACCCTTCTTCTTACTAGGCTTTGGCGCACTCTTTTCCACAACTTCAGGTGCATTCGCTGCTGGAAACCCTTTCATATGTTTCTCCCAAGAAGCCTGCATGCTCTTCGACATGTCGGTAACAGGGTGTTCATTACTGTTGAATAGGACACAGTTTGAAAGAATCAGATTAAAATCGTCCACGATTGCTCGCGGAGTCTTGTACTCGTTATTTTGTAACTTCTTTTCCATCGTTTGGAGATCCATAGGGTTTGTGACGATCTCGTAGTATGTAGGCACATTAAGTCTCTCGGCATCAACTGGCATTGTAAAAGGGCGGGCGTCCTTGGTCCGTCTAAGACTTCGAATAACACCTAATACAAACTTAATCTGTGACGGCGTGATTGGATCGGTGGAATGGTATAGCGGCGCCTCGGCTGAGGATGATGAGCTATCCATCTCTTCCGTTTTCGCCCGCTTCAATGGAGGCCCCACGTTGTCATCGTCCTCCCTCTCTCTTGATGTCTTTACTGAAGGCGCATCAGTCATCGCATGGTCGGCTGTTGATACATGAGTTGATGGCTTCGACCTGTCACTAGGGGCCCCGTTTGTCCGTTCGGGAATTTTCGTTTCCTTCCGCAAATCTTCTACAATAGCCTTGTCGCGTATTTTTTGTCCCTCTTCTACGTTAGTCTGTCCATTCCCATGAAACGACATTGATGGTGCGCCGCCTGCTGGCGAGGTTATATGTAAATCAGAAAGTTCCTGTGAGCTATCTGTTTGGTGTAGTGGAGGAGTTGGAATTGGTGGCGATGGGGGTGCGTTTATTTTTTTCGCTGTACTATTGCCATTCACTAACGGGTCGCGATCATCATTGGCGATAGGTTCATCTTTCGGCGAAGATGGGGCAAATTCTGGTATAGAAGAGGATGTAGTAGATTGCTTGACCGTTCTAAAGTAGCGGAAGGATAATGTAAATACAATGTTTTCAGAAACATGAAAATGAAAGACAATGGAGATAAACGAAAAGGATACAAGAGGAATTTCCACCAAAACACCACATCTCAAACCTCATAACCATCACCTGAGACGCATCTCGAGGAGATACGCGGCGAGATATGATGCCGGAGGGGTATGTAGGGGAGGGCAGGGGAGAAGCGACAAACAGCAGACAGGAACAGGGCAAACTCACCCATTAACATCCAAGTCCATCGCCATCGTCCCCTGTGAGACAGCATTGTCCGCCTCCGCCAAGGCGGGAGCAACCGTCTCAGACTTTGGGTCGTGTGGATGGGTGCTAGCCGACAGCTGTGGACTCATCACTGCCATAGAAGACCCAAATGAACCAAGCACCTTGTTGAAGTGAGAGGGAAAGTAATTCACCTTAACACCCACCAAAGGCGACGACTTATGGGATGGGGAAGCGCGACAAAAAGAATCCAGAGGTCGGCGGATTTATTGAAGTAACGGGTGGTAATTAGCGATGATGGATGGATTACCTATTAAGGGTTGAAGAAGTAAGCGGGGATGATAGATGGGGTAAGGCTAGAGGCGGTGGTGGAGGTGGTGGTAGTGGTGGTGGGTTAACAGAACGCTGATGAATAGCGTGTCGGTGTGGTTGACAGGATGATGTGTGGGTACAAGCGTGGATGGTTGAAAGTGTGGCTTCGTTGGCAGCAACGGTGGAGCCTCAAAGCGTTGTACAATTAAAGGTTTGGGGCAGGAAAGCCTGCACACGAGTAGTAAGCACCACACACGCACTGGGGAAGTGGGGAGGCAACCACGCGTATGGCCTTGTGTAGAAGTGGAGAGAATGGGCGGAAAAGAAAAAAAAAAAGAGGGGTAGGGTAGTAGGGATATTATACTGGTGGGGGAGGAGGAAGGCGAAGCAAATGGTTGGGTGGTTACCAATGTAATTGTGTGGTGGTGCGTTGACAACAACGGAGGAGAGAGAAAGAGAAGAGAGGAAGAGGGATCTGGCAGGGTAAGTGTGCTTTAAAGCTTGAGTATTTTTAATGACTCAGCCTTTCGCTTTTTTTGCTAGCCCGTCGCGCCACGCGTTATCCGATTTGGAATAGATTGTGGGCAACAAAAACGAAAAAAAATGTGGTAAAAAAAAAAACAAGGTGTCAACGGAGATTAGATAATAAATCGATTTTGCTCTCTGTGATTGTTCCTTAGAAAAAGTTATTTTATATTTTTATATTTTTGAGCCGCTTCCAATGCCTGCGGGCGCGTGGTGTCGGGTTTCGTATTGCGATGGGGAGATAAGATGCAAAACTTCAGGAGGCCGCAAAATGGACAACAAAGTGTGAGAAGAGACTGCGTGGGAAAGTGCTTCCTTTTGTATTCGGCCCCACTGGCTGAGACGAGCAGACGATTAGGAGCGCCAAGGACATCTTGCATTTAAACCCTAGCCCCGCCGGGAAGGAGTTTGTACCAGGGGGCAACCATTGGTCGATTCCACTCACTCCTGCAGATAACTACCCCATCATCACCACCCTCCCCTTTTTGGCTCCCCCCTCACCCCCCAACAACAAACTGCACTTATGTTAGAACACACAAGAGAGAGAACTGCTGATAGTATGGAGAGAGTATTGAGCTGTCTGGTCAGTACGGTAGCATCATCCACGTATGAGCGGACAACGAGTAATCAAGACGCGACTCATCTCCAGTTAGCCAGGAACCAGTACCATCATGCGCCACCGCCACTAGTAAAATCCATACAGAAAACACAGAACTGGAAAACGCGCTGCTGATCAAATCGTTAGAAACGAAAGAAACGATATCAAAAAGTTATCGAGTATTTTGTGTATTTGAGTGCACGCCTCTCCGTAGTGTCTTCCGGTGGGTGTGTTTGCGATGATGCTTTGCTGCCGTAGCAGCCGCGACCGTGCGTTGATTCGTCTGCACACCGTGTCTGGACATTCAAGCCTGCCTGTAGCTCAACAAAGCAACGAAAATAAATAATGAAGCATTCTCGGCGTAAGCTAGACGTTGGAAGTTGTAGTATCGGTGCTGCTGTAGTTGGCCTCATATCCAAAATAACACGTAAATTCCGACCGAACGATATGACCGAAGAGTGGTTGTCGTTCCATCAAAGACCAGAATAGAGGGGAGGGGAAGTCGCAATAAACCAGGCAACTGCCCACCTCCGATTCCGGAAGAAACCAACATCTGACAAGCAGGCCCAGACAGATCAGATCTTAACAAGAGAGACGAGCGGGTTGGACTCCAACTCCATGGAGCCTGGGGGCTTGAGGCGAAAGGAGACGGTTCGACCACCATGAACGATGGAGAAGGGGGGGCTAGAAAAAGAGCACAAGAGTGGGATTTCAGAGATCCTGGTTTCGTGAGGGTGTAATAGCGTAATCCTTGTTGGCCCGTGATCCCCTGTGCCCGCAAATGGTGAACACAACATACCCGCTGGGCGGAATATTTCAAGCAGCAACAAGAAACCAATCCGTTGCCGACCATCAAAAATGAAAACGAGAATTCACTCATGTGTGATCACTCGGTACCAACCTTGTCGTCATATGGTATCACCCAATTTCAACACGGGAACTTCAACTCCGCGACTTCTTCACGACGAGAGTGGCTGGAAGTAATGCTCATTTCATGCCTCCCAACGGAAAATTTACCCTTGTTACACTGAAGATGCGACCATTTCGCTTCCTTTGGCAGGTATTCTACTTTGGAATGCTTTGCGGCGTGTTGAAAATTTGACTGTCCAGGACGGCACATTATTCACCCGTTGAAATTTTGTGGTTACCTCGAGTCTTCCAAGCCACGGGCCATATTAATTACAAACTCCCGGATGGGTGTTGATAGCAATGCAAGGTGTCTTGAAAGTTTTCATTCGACTCTTTTACCGGCGGCGGAGAAATAGAGAAATTTACATTAGGATTGGAGCCGAAACCGTATCACCATGGAAGAACGGATTTCTGTTTTTCTTGGTACCGGTACCGAAAATAAGCCCATGGGTCAACAGGATGATGGATTTCAAGTGGCTATAAATTAATATAAACCTGTGTTAATTCTCTATGGACAAATTGCAAAGGAAAGAAGGGAAAGAAACCCGATCAAAAGCACGAGCATATACTCTAGGTACTCTTCCCGATTTTGTTGTTCCCCGCATACCAGGCTCGGTTGTGAGAGATCTACTTTGAAATACTCGTAGTCAAAGTAGAGGTACTGGTCGTTTTTGGAGCATTAACTCCCCTCCCCGCATATTCTTACGGCGACCTGCAGTGCTGTGCTTATGAAGAGTAGGTACTCTAGGTACCTTGCCCTAAAGTACTCTAATATTAAATGTAAGTATAAACCTATCACATGTGGCTAGTATATGGGGATCTACAGTATCCAAATACTACGCTGCGATCATCGGATTGGCAGGGTGCTCTGCCTACAAACGTCTGCGCCTTCACCCCCTCTTCTGCCAAAGAAGGCATTTGCCAGAAAGCTCCCCGCCTCTTTCCCAGTGGCCTGGTACGAATGATGATATAGTGTTTCATGCAAGGTCACCGATGCCATGGGTCTACGTCCTTTCCGCTGCAGTTAGAAAAAACCCTAGCCCTTGAGCAGACATGTATCATGATCATGAAGAGTATGATAGTTGGGTTATGGACAAGGGTATCATACGATAGCCTATTTCCCTTTCTCCCGGGCCGGGCCTCCGTTTAGGGCCGTTTGCATGTTTAAAGCGTAGTTAGTACCGACTTCGTTGAGATATGGTTGGGCAATTGAGCCCCAAAAGACAAACACGGTCTCTCGTAGATTCTGGCTGGAAAAATCATTACTCACTCACACTCTGTGAGTTGCACTACATGGTAGTGCAATCCCGCCAAGAAATCATATGTGCACTTTTTACGCAAGCTGAAATTCCTGAGCAGCTACAGGCCACGTGTATGCACAATAGGGCCAAGCAAACGCCGAAAAAAGATCTCCTCGAGAACCAGTTAACAAGTCACTCATTTTTTTTGATTCCCGACGCAAAATATTGGTGCGATCTCGGCGTTACGTCGGCCACAGTCGATGGTCGTCGATGGTGCCATGGGAGGTAGAGGCAGGTAGAGGCAAACTTAGAAATGAACCCCAGCCAACCAACAATTATCAAAACACCCAACCACCCCAAAGGTGTCAGACTCATCTGAGATCTAGATACTAGTTTGCCTTACCACCACCCACATATCTGTCTTTTGGAGCCGAGACTTTTTTCCTGTGGTGTGATGAACCCCCGTACTACTCTATGAACCTGAGAGGCTTAAGGCACAAAACCAAGACGGATACTCGCATTTGGGTCAGGCAGCGGTACTAGAGTAAGTTAACGAGTGGGTGTCCGATGAGCGCCGCGGACAGATATTCGTAAACCCCCAGTACGATAACGGCTGAACTTCCGACTGGGTTTGTGTAAAATCTCCTAAGCCTTGTTCGACTTTATTTATTTTTTTACCATTTCCAATCTAATTATGAGTGAATATTTAGTTTGTTGATCAGTAGGTTTGAGTGATCCCGTGATGGTAATGTAGAAGTTGTGGTTGGGTTAAGCTCTCTTGGCGATCATATAGATGACTGAGGGCTCCTTGCCGAAGTTTGGGGTAATTCCAATATGTTCTGCCGTGTATAATTGGATGAGTTGGGACTTTTCTAAATACTGATTCGAACCAAAGTGAGGTCATGTACGTACGGACAGCTTCTTCCGGCCACATGTACCTTACTCGACCCAAGCTTAAGTCTCACTCACAGTCGCTCATGACCGAACTGTGTATGTAGTTGCGTTTTTCCGGCCAGAAGCAGTTCATGTGAGTTTTTCCGTCGCCTTAATCGCCGTTATTAATAATTGCATGAGTGGTTATAACTAGTGGCCTTTCATCCGTGAGTCAAGAGACGTGTTTTCGAGTGATATGTTGTGAAGTTAGGCCGCTAGATATTGCGGGCGGTAGGTTGACGTTGGCGATACTTGTAATAGTAATTGCGGGGATCAAAGCTCCATTCTGCACTGCAAGAGCCGCTGGCCAGCCAGGCTGTCCATTTTTATGCGAGTCATAGTGACGAGTCGTGAGGACCCACCCCCTGTCTGGCCAGTTTTCCATGCATAGGCCCCAGTCTATAAACGGGCCTTCTGCTCCAGCTTGGTCTGTGGAGACTTTTGCCGGCCCACATTATTTGCCACTGGTCTAAAACACCTGAGCTGGGGATACATTGGCAGTGGAGATCACCACTCTCGAGTGATGGATTGTGACCATGTAATATAGTGGAAGTCCTTTGTGTGGGCGCGGTGGTGTGTAGAATTGCGTTTACACCTCACATTACCTACAGAACTGAAATTGGATCTCACACCCGTAATGCCCACTGCATGCGTACTTTGTAGCATTGCACTATACTATGGCTATGGCACCGCGATAACATAAGGATCTGTCACCGCGCCGCCTATCGCGAGGAAGCCTCTCCCAGTTCCTAGTAGACAGACTCTTACTACTTTTGGTTGCCCTGTGCGACGACAACAACCGCATCCCGCACTCTTAGTTTACCACATGCGGCGACGTTTTTTTCCCTGTGGAGAGAAATGTGGCTTCCAGAAGACAGGCACCTGTTTCATCAAACGGGACGGGAAACCCCTGGCAAGGAAGACTGCCGATCGTTGCCTGACTTGGACCTCAACCTCTGCACGGTTCGTTCAAAAGCTCTTTGGATGTTCTGAACATCGTAATTGATCGAATTCCGACGGCTGGGCCTAGGGGGCAAGATTCTCGCTTTCTAGAAATAGAAGCATTGAAGGAAGAAGTCTGTGCCGCGTCATCAAGCCTCATGTTTCCAGGGACAGGGACAATCCAGGAGGAGGAGGGAGGGAGGGATAAGATGGAATTGGATGAGATCGATCTCTCCTGCTGTGTAATGGCTTCTTGATCTCTCTCACCCTTTTCTCCTTTGTTTGATCTATCCAGCATCGCGTTCCACTAGAAGTTGTTTTTTCAACTTCAATTCTTATCTTTATTGCTATAGCTAAGCTTTATAAACAGCTAATTGCATTCCTTTATTTTTAAACTATGAAACTTCACGCTCGTTTGATCACTTTGCTCGTTTCTTTTATTTTGTTTATTAGCGTGATATGTTTTCACCAGGCCCTCAAGATCAGATATCGGAAAGGTAAGCAAGCTTTCGTCCAAAGGCGGAATAAACCATAGACCTGCCCAACGTTTGCCGACTTTCCGTTGCTAATGTTTGTTACTACACAGCGTTTGGACTTTTACCCTCACGTTTGGTGATTTTTGGCGACGAATGGAGTGGCATCCTACCACCAGACACGCTTCGTAAACGAGACAAGACATCCGCCCCCGCGCATGTCTGGACCGAGCTCCTCTGCTCGCACATACACGCCGAGTGTAGCTCTTTTGCCCCG